TTTTATTATATGTAATAAGAATTTATTGTAGTTACAGATACTCATTCATCTTTATATATACACATACACGCACAAATAAATATTAAAAACTTATAAATAAAAGTATTTTATATAAATGTAAATAATTTTTTATTTAATATATATATTACATGGATTTTTTTTAGAATTTTTTTATATTTGTTTATTTAATACATGTACAAAATAAATTTTTTAATATTAAAAAAAAAAAATAATAATATATCACGTTTAATTTTTAACAATTCATTTTTGCATATTATAAAAAATTATTTACATTTAAAATAAAGAATAAATTATATAGAATATTTATTAATTATAAAAAATATTAAATTTGAATTTGTATTTGAAATCATAAAATTTTAACAATTGCAAATAATGATATCCATTCTATTATATTTCTAAAATATTAGTTAATATTTTTCAATATTTTATAACACATAACATAGTTTTAATTGTAATATATGATTTTTTTTAAATTATCTTATTTTTTAATCTTCTGTATTTTTAGATTTTACTTCATTTATAATTCCTTCTTCCAAAAATTTAATATACAAAGGATCTTGTTCAGCAACAACATATGAAAGTATAGCTTTCATATAATAATCTGACATTAATTCAATATTTCTTATAACAGTAGAAAGAAGATGTGCTTTTTCCACATATATACCTATGAAAAAAATTTAATCAATTAATTAATTTAATCAATTAATCAATTAATTAAATTTAATCTTGAAATAATATTTGCTTTTAAAATTATAATTTAAATTTTTTAAGACAATTATATAAATTTGAAAGAAATTCAAAATTTTTCTTTTTAATATTTATCATAAAATAAATATTTCATATTTCATAAATTATTTCATATTTTATTTTAAAGAATAAATAGTTAAAATAAAAAATAAGAAGATAAATCTTAAATTTACCTGGAGTTTCAAACATAAGATATGCAAAATGAACATGGAGATAATAATAGGATGGTTGGTAATGTAAATATATTCTAAGTTGAGAAGCAGATATATTAAACTTTTTAGCAATTACAGCAGTTCCAGTTTCTCTTATATTTTTTAATAGAGGAAGATGAAATGCATTTAATTCTCTAATAGATCGAATCTTTTGAAATGGAAGTGCTATTAATTTTAGTGTATTTGGTTGTCCATCCCATTTCAAATCATTTACTATTATAAATCCAGTTTTTTCATCTTTATCCTCATATACAATTTTATCTTGTTCTGCTTTATGTTCCAAAATATTATATATCCACTAGAAAAAAATAAAAATTTAATCCTTTAACTTAAATCTTCAATAAAAGTAATTTTCAAATTAAATTTGTATTAAATATTAAATTATTAATAATATTATAAATTGAAAACTTAATATTAAAATTATATATTTATAATTTTAATATAAAAATATTAAATAAATTTTTACTATTTTAATTAAAAATATTCTATATTTTTTACAAACGTACCTCTATAGAAAAACTAGTTGATTCTATATATGGAAGAGTAATTTTTTGATAAAGTTCATAAGTTTCATCTATAATATGAAGTTCTTTCCTTTGAAATTTTTCGATATGTTTTTCTGTTGCAGGATGTATTATTGTTGCATTTATACCTTAAATAATATAAAAATTTTCTATAATAAAAAAAGAAGAAAAAATATATTGTTAGGTTATAAATTCACTGCAATATACCATTAAATTTTTTAAGTGGAAAACACTCATAATTTCCATATATATCATTATTATAAAGTTTATGAAAAACTGTGTCTTTATTAAATAATTCTGTCATTGATTGTTCATCGTCCGAAAAATTTTGTTTTTCTAATATGATAACAGCAGAATCTTCAAATCCTTTGAAAACACCTTCTATACATATTTGTTTTCTCATGCAATTATTTTGTAATATCCTTTTTATATTGAATATAGATGAGCAGAATTCTGTTTCATGTATACTATTGACATTTTTGGATGTATTTTCTATTTGTATTTTAGCTTTTTTCGTTGGTGGACATTCATCCGCACTATTGTTAGAAGATATTTCCGCCATTGTTGATGACATTCTTTCAAACAATTCTCACTGTAACTTCAAAAATTATAAATCTAAATAAAAAATATTATAAATAAAAATTTTTTAACTATTTTTCTTTTTATTAAATTAATAACTTTCTATTTATACTATCATTTAATTAAGTAATATTCTTAGATTATATAAATAAAAAAATAAAAATCATCTAATTTTTGTTGTTTATTCATAATGTTTAAATGCATTATTGTTTATATTTATTATATATATTGTAAAAATAATTTATTGTAATTATGTTTAATTCATATGTAAATTCAATTCGCCAATAGTATAAATATATATATATTTATACTTATATATATATATATGATATATCTACGGGATCCACAGATTGAGTACAACTGTTATATATGTGTACATATATAGATTTTAGATATAAACGAGATCTAAACACGGTGGCGAAGATCCAAAGCAGAAACTTTATCTTTTGGTAACCTTCGTAAGATTATTAAAGACGAACATTAGAAACGATCTACTACGTGAGCTAAGAGGTTAATAACGATGCTACAAGTAGATGATAGAAAGGTAAAACATCTATTCATTTCCTTTCCCTTTCATTTTATCCTTAAATATTAATTCGTACTAAAAAATCATAAATTTTTGTTATAATTTAATCTTAATATTTTTATATTTTTTCTTGTATATTAAGTACTTTCAGATTATGCGTAATAAATAATGTATTTTTGGTATTTTTATGTGTAAAAAATTATTTTTATACATATTGAGGTTATGTATTTTTTTAATCATTATGAATTATTATTTATGTGATTCAATTATTCTTTTCATTTTTTATATAAGATTATAATGGAATTATATTATTTTTCAAATATCAAATTTATTACGATTTTCTTTGATTATGAATAAAATAAAATCTAAATTATTTAAATCGTAATATCGTCAGAATTGTAAATATAAATGCAAATTAATAGAAATTAATAATTTATTTATAAATATATTTCTCTTATAAAATAGAATAGAATAGATAATTATCTATGATTATCACAAATTATATCATAACGAAATCTAAAATTAAAAGCTAAATACATAATTTCAATATTGTGCAAAATAATTTATATTTGTTATAATTATTTAATAAATTAAAATATAATTAAACATTATAATAACATTATAAAAATTATATAAATATTTTTGTTATATTGAAATAAAATATATCAAATGTAGTTCTTATACTCTTCACAGCATTATACATCGTAAGTTATAAAAATAAAAACATTAAAAATAAAAATTTCTAAAAAATAAAAACTAAAAAGAT